CTTGGGAAGTGGGGTCGGTGTATGTGATTGTGTATTGTTGTTTTCAAAATGGCAGCTCAATTCTATTAATTCTGTTTAACTTAGTAAACAGCAGAAAAGTTAAGTAGATAAACAACCAACGGAAGAGAAAAAAAAAAAGACACAAGAGTCATAAACATTTTAAAGTAACTAAAATAAATTGCAGGCAAACAATATATGAAATGTAAACAAAACTTTAAATCCTAAAATGGCGCAGAAATTCACGTGCCGCTGCGCTAACCTAAATTTAATGCGGCCCGGCCCTTTAGATTTCATTCTACTTTGTTGTGCCGAATTGGTATTGACCTGACCGACCGGGTATGGAGCATACAACGTAGTTAAAATGCGCAAAGCTTTGAGTGAACGGAAATTATACCGAAATTACATGATATATAATCTGACAAATGTATGTCTCATTAACAAAGGGTCCAGTGACGTCCCTTCAATGGGCAATAAACAATTCGGTGGCTTCTTACTATATTTACGAGTATGTTGAGTGAAGTATGCTTGACGGAAATTACAAATTATGTGTGAGTGCTGTTGACATTTCAAGGTAAAAAATTAAAACAGAAAAAAAGATGTTTGCCTTAACGTGTTAGAAGTCATGTACCCGTACTTAGCAGGTTTTGGTTCAGATGGAACTTTTTACATGTGTAAGCATTTCGTTCATGCGAATACTGGCAGCAGGCAATACAACACAATTTGGTAGTTGCGGAAATGATATGTGATTGCTTTGATAAAATGCTTGGTATTCTGGGAATATTAAACAAATTTCGGAAATCATGTAAACATTTTTAGAAACTATGTAAGGAATACCAAGAAAGCATTCAACTGTAAAAATTAATTAGGATATATGCAATCAATTTAAAAATACCAATAGATATGAGTATAGCATATTTTTATACAAATATGACATTTAAATTAAAACAAAATACACAAAAGGGAGCTTATGGTTCCATTTACTTTATTGAAATTCGTATCGCATTTACTCATAGAGCATTGCTACGAATAAGTGAAGACAATGGTCGGTAATGACAGTTGCTGCATAACATGATATATATAGTCCACAGAAGTTTCGTTTTGAGCAAAACCGGTATTTTTAAAGTCAAACACATATATGTATATTGTACATATTAAATAGAATATATACGTATTTAGGGAATAAACCGTACGGGAATTGATGGACTTAATATATTTTGTGATTTATATATATTATATATAAATTTAATATGTCGTTCTCTAAAATAAAAACTAAATATGAACTGGATAAGCTATGTATATATATACACAAATATTTTTATAATAATATGTTGTTGTCTACAGTAAAATCTAGTTATAAATTAAAGTGTGATAGATTGATGTATCTAGCAAAAAAATATTTATTTCCTTACGATTATGTCATTAGTTTAGAAATCTAAAGCTATTGCCAGGAAGGCTCAGTTGGCTAGTTGAAGGCTAGTTGACGATGGAACTTGTTTTCCAGCAGAAAAATATTTATCTTCTTACGATTAAGTCATTAGTTCAGAAGTCCAAAGCTATTTAAAGCGATGACTTGCCGTAAAGGCTCAACACCACGGTACTCTTAACACACGTATTGGTACAATGAGCTTATAATCGTCCCATTGAAATTCCTAGGAATTCCACACTTGTACTAATTAAAACTTTTACGTTTCGATATAGTTTCCTGCTTGGTAAAAAGTGAGGCCTATCTAATACCTCTACTATTCTTTGGATTACAGCACACGGTTGCAAAAATCAAGATGGAATGAACAAAAATTAATAGTCTATCTTAACATAGTCTATACTACCTGCGTCTATTCGAATTTTAACCACAACCACCATGATACTTCCATCACAGAAGCCAACCTCAATTGGGAAAAAATGTCCTTGATGTCGAATTAAGAGTTCCAGTCGAGTGCCGCAAGTGAACCTAACTTATTTACTACTATTTATACTCCAAATATTAACAGGTGGTGTTTACTGGATGTTAGTCGCCTCTTACGGCAGTCATGTGTTACCACTGGAATATTCTTACTCATTCCTACTTACTCTTACTAATCAGATTAGTTATCGTTGAACCATATTAAATTAAGAAACAAGATCCTAATATAGCTAGAGAGATAAAGTATTGTGTTTTATTTGTTGTTTTTTTGTGGTCAGGCAAAAATTTAAAAATTCTGACTAAAACATTTTAATCATTAGACCCCTGTGACACTATCATTTTTATTATGTTGAAGCTAGTTGAGTCAGTGCACTTGAGCATTTCTATTCTCTATTAACGGCGCGGTTTCTTCAAAACACTTCTCTACGCCTTGACTGGATTATTGTTTATCACTTCATCAGACTAAGCAATAATTGACCTCAGACCTGCATACCTCCCCGAGGAGCCTGTAACCATTCTGAGATTTGATAACGCGGTGTTGGTAAGCCTGTCAGATTTCGCAAATAAATATGTGAATATGTTGAATATTTTTAATTAAAAATATTTATTAAATTTAGCAATATTTAATTTGCTCAAGCCACCTTTAAGCGAATTATTGATTTGATATAAGTTAAATTCCGTTTCAAACAGTAAATTTTTTTAACAAAAAAGCATATTGGTTTTTAGAATACTCTTTTCAAAAACATATTTAACAATAAAACAAATTAAATTGAAACACTACGGTATCATTTCATACGTGAAATAAACTAAACTTTATACTTTTTGAAGTTATACTTACTTGGATAACCTTAAAATAAACCTTAATTGTGCTGCAATTAACCTATATTCAAACTTATGCCAATATACAATAAAAACAAAATTAAGGTTATTTAACAAGAAAACAAACAAACAAACAAAGCTTTAAGCGAGTGAAACGAGTACTTTAAGTTAATTACGCGACCTATGGCATTGCAATTAGGCCACAGCCAGTCAATGCAGTGTCAACCGGTAAGAAAATGGAGAAAGCTTTCAGCATCCTAAGCAAACAATAAAAATTTTAATAGGTCAACGAAAGAAAGTGTACAGTTATATGAAACATTTACGTTACAAATAACAACAAACATACATATTAACAAAGTAAAAGTAACAGCAGCAACCTATAAACCGTGTAAAGGAATAGTGCAGGAAAGTAGCACAAACTGTTTAAACGCCAAAAAGTATGCTGCAGTACTCCAAATCACTTTTGAGTCTTCTGCTGACGCGATTTTCACTGTTGCATTTTAGTTTGTTTGCCCGCCATTTTTTTTTTTTGTTTTTAGTTTTTTTTTTATTTGTATTTTTTTCTTATTTTGTATAAGCTGAAGGCACAAAACGTTTATGTTTGCTATTTTTGTTTGCCTGGCCCGCCTGGCCCGCCTTGCCTTTGCCTCGGGGTTATACTCCTAACGTGATGTTTTCCTTCAGCGCATTTATTTAATGAAAATTCAAGTGTCATATTGCCTAAATCGACAGAAGCACGCCAACGCTACTCAAATCAACAGCGAGTCAGGCAAGTACGCCAAATAACGAAAAAATAGTAGCTCTGAGGCACTCTTTACTGCCACTGTAGCTGATTAAAATGGAAAACTTTAGGTTGAGTTAATTCAGAAGAGCAGCGAGCATATGCCAAGGAAGTCGGGAAAGAGGTAACCTTTTTTGTACTTTTTACGATTTTCGTAGTTATATGAAAAGGCAACATGCCACGTACAATGTAAATATTGAAATTATAAAGGAGCATAATAAAAATGCATAAGAAGTTGAAAAAAAACTACATGGGAATAATAAAAACATGCTGAAATAAGTTTTTTTTAAAAGGATTATAATGATAAACAGCGGTTTTTGCTTGGAATATCCTTAATAAAAAGCAAATGAAAAACACAGGATTTCAGCGAGTTTTTATGTTAAATAGAATTCGTTCTTTATACACTAACGCAGATAAAACATTTAAAGGAAGTAAATTATGTTTATGGAGTGCTTTGGTCAGATATCTAAGTTCCTTATTTTTTTTTTTGGTTTTTTTTTTGAGTTCCGTATATAAACATTTTATGAACATATTTTCTCTATTTTTGTACTTAAAGAAAATTCATTCGCCATTGTGCGTTTAAGTTGCAAATACCATTAACTACATACCAGCATAATATGAGTACTTTCATTTCTACAGTTTTGTATCTAATCCTGTACATAGATAAAAGTATTTTGCATATTTTTCCATACACAAACAAATAATACAAGCAAAATAACTGAGCAACACAAAGTAATCCATAAAAATTCTCTCAACAAATCCTTACGAAATTTATGATTTCAAAATATATTTTAGAAATTTATTTATGACAAGCAATTTCTGTGTTCGACTTCGGCTTTAGCTTTGGCTTTGGCTTTGGCTTTAGGTTTCATAGTTTGCTAGTTTAATATTTTATGCAGAAGGCGCACAGATACACAAACGTGACAACATGGAGAAGGAATTTTCTTTTGTTTTTCGTTATCGATAAGCTTTAATATGTGTAGAAAATCCTTTTAAGCATTTTGTAGTATTAGAGAACGGCATATTTATCCATAAACCACTTGGGCCGATAAAAAGGATAGTGAGATGAACCTTAGTGTAAGAAGGACGCACAGGCAGCAGACAAAGCCACACATTCCTTGTAAGACCATGCAACTAAGCTGGTTTACTAGTTACTTATGGATGTGATTGTGAAAGTCAGTGGAAGTCGCAATGGTTCAATGCTGGTTTTGTTTCATGAATTTAGTTGATGTTTTTCCTTAAAATACAATATTTATGGCACTTCAACTTTTTCCTTTGACATTTTGCGACATTTTTTCTGTTTTTTTTTTTTTATCTCTGGGGCGGGGAATGCTCTTAATTGAATATAATTTTGTTTACATTTTCTTATATCTGGAGACAAAGTTCTTGTAGAATCCAATAAATTTTTACTTTAATTTTTTAGACAATATTTATTCTTTGAATTGAACTTTGAATTTAAAACCATCTTTTTTAGAGTTCGAATATTGCAAAAGGTCTTACCGTTGCCAGATCTTCAGTTTTTCCACCTGAAATAAAAGAAAAACAAAAACAAAAAATTAGCTTATTGTTGTAAAAATAATTTTTAAAATCAAAAAAAAATAATTTTAATAAAGTGTTTTTTAGGCTAATTGGTCAAAATTTTTTTTATTATTGTTGTTAAAAATAAAAATAAAAATTAAGAAAAAGAGAATTCACAATTTAATTTTTCAATAATTTTTTATTTTTCTTCGATATTTCGTCATCAGGAAACTAAACATTATATTCAATGTCACAAAATTATTAACATTTAAAAAAAATAATTTTTAGTTTTAACATGTATTATACAATGGGTTTATTGGATATTTTTTTTATGTTCAATGATGAAAATGTGATTACTTGCCGTGAAAGCTTAGCACTAGGGCTTCGAACCGAAATTTTTACCGTTTTTCTTTTTTGTTCTAGTTCAAAAGAAAAAAATATATCGGTTCGTTTCCAGTTTTCGTTCCTGCAAAAATATCGGTTTTTTTACGATTCGAAGCTCTGCTCAGCACTACGTTGCTTTTAACGCGCGTATAATGCACTGATGAACACCCCATTGGAATTCCAAAAAATTCCACCGCTACATATAGACGTTTCAATAAACATAGCTCTCTTCTTGATGAGGGGCGCGCCCTATCTAACAATTATGCTGGTCTTAACACTTGTTTTTGAAAATGCAACTCCACACCGGATGAAAGTAAATAAATATATTTATTCTATGCACGTATATTTGGGTCTTAACCACAGTCACCACAAAATACCGTTTAAGGCGCCAAACTCTATTGGTCAGGACCAAGAATATGAGCCATGACCATCGTGGTTCCAAATCTCTGGCTGCTTGTCACAAAAGAAAGCTCACTTATTATCAGTGATACTTCAAACAGTGTTCGAACGGCAACCTTAATCAGAGAAAATAAACAGACAATATTCAAGCAAATGGCAATCTATATTTCCGATAGAAAAAAATTATTACAAGAATTAATTTTTAATTTAACAAAATTTTTAGGCATAGATAAAACCATCGGTGTAACAATATTAGACATTCATTTTTAAATTTTAAAAACTCAAAATTAAGTCTAGAGCTAGAGCTTTTTATTTGTATTAGACTTAACATCGAAATGCAACGAGCCGGATGCAGAGGAAACTCTAGAGCATCTGATGTGTAATTGCCCGGCTCTCTCGAGAACTCGACAAAAATACTTGAGGGCTGTCAGTTTTTCCGGACTAAAGTGCATGCCTAAGGTTTCTATTGAATTCCTAATAAAATTCTCTAATAAAATGCACATCTTAAGTGATGCACACAATCGCTAAAATAAGATTCTGGTATCACAATGGACCTTAATGGTCTACGCGTGACCTGTTTGATCTGTCAGCATAATCTAATCTAACCTAACACCGAAAAATAAATTAATAATTTATCGAAAATATATATTAAGTTTATAATGATTAAATGATGTATAATAAAACTTTTTGTGTGAATGCGTATTATTGAACTTCTGTTATTGTATAGTATAATACAAAACCAAAATGCACTCAAGTACTCACATATACTGAAAGGTTTTGGTTAAAATAAGAAAATGTTAATTTGTTATTATTATGTTGAAGACAGTTGAGTCAGTGCATTTGAGCACTTTTATTCACTTTTAACTGCGAGGTTTCTTCAAAACACTTCTCTACGCCTTGACTAGATTATTGTTTATCACTTCAACAGACTAAGCAACAATTCACCTCAGATCTGCATACCTCCTTGAGGAGCCTGTAACCATTCTGAGATTCGATAACGCGGTGTTGGTAAGCTTATCAGTTTTCGTAAATAATTTCAGGGCTCTATCCTTTATGTATTTTTTGATGGGATCAATCTTGAGGTCTCTGAGGATTAATGGTATTAAAAAAATATTTTACAGATTATTTTTTTCCACCCCAAAAAATATGCAATAAAATTTTATTATAAAATTATTACCAAAGAAGGAGAAGGCAATAATTGACAAATTAAATTGATTTGAGTATTTATTACTTAACTATCTTATAAAAATCTGAACAAAGATGTGAATTTTACTTTTTATTTAAAAAATGAGTTTCTTCAGTAATCCATAAAGTTACACATTTTATTAATAAATACTGTATGAATGCACTTAATCACTAAGATAGCAATATTTTGCTATCAATACTCATACAATAAATTGATTTAATGAAATGAAATGCATATTATTTTTGTGCAAATATTTCAATAAATATTTCAATTTTTGCAATTTCCGTAGCTGCTGTGTGCAATTATCAGCACAATGAATTTAATTAACCAAAAAACTGAATTTACGTATTCATCCGATGTAAGTGCGCTTAAAACTCTATAATCTATCAACAATATGCAATATGCGAGTGTAAGTAAATTAATTTCATTTAATAACATTTCACTTCTCCGTTTATTTGCTGCAATATTGAATTGGAAAAATTAAACTGCAACGTATAAATAAACAAGAAAAATGAAATAAATTCATACAAATATAAATGTACAAATATGAATGGAAACGAGTATGAGGAACGAAATTGGCTCTTGATTCCAGATCAACTATGAATATGTAACATATCATAAACAGCTTCATATTGGCAACAGTGCGAATGCATATTTACCAATTGCAAATATTTACATAGCAGATGTATCCGTATCCGTAATATGAGAAGAGAACCTGACGCTGACGCTGATGCTGATGCTGATGATGAACACGATGACGTTGATACCAATGCCGATACCAAATGTTTTCATAAAAGGTGTATGAGAAGCAAACAAACTGTAGTTTGTCAGTCAGCACACGTAGTGCATTTACAAATTGGCATATAAAAACCGCACCGAATATCAAGCCAAAATTGAAAAAGCAATTTCATTGAAATTTCAATTAGCGTAAATGGATAAAAAAAAATATCGAAAATAAAATATTTCTAAAACAAAAATACAATGAACTAATTTGCAAAATTATATTTTATCGCACTGAAGTATCCGCATTATGAAATCAGTGCACCACTGCATGCAAACAATCCGATCGACCGACCGACCGACCGACCGCCACAGGATATGCAATAATTTTTGCAACAAATTTTATATATCAAAACGGATTTCATATTTGTTTGTTGATTAAAAATTGTTTGTTGGTTCGTCATTTAAATAGTGTTCTTTTTTTTTTTTTAAATATTTTGTATGTAAAGTCGAAATATAAACAATTTGTAAAACTGAAAAATGGAATTTTAAAAATTAATGAGAAAACTTTTCCTGCATGAATTTTTGGTTTCGTGTCACTTTTTGGTACTTGTCCTTTGTCACGTTGGGCTAATATGGGTAGGTATGGCAGGATATTCATGACACTTTTTATTTACTTACTTTTTATCAATTATCAATTAACCTAAATTTCGGCATATCTTTGAATGTATTGTATGCTGGTAGGTAGGCAGGCGGGTAGACGGGTATGTGATGTCTACTTTTAAGTCCGTACGCTTCATTTCATACCACAGAACACTACTAGTAGTAGGCAAGGCAGGGGTTTATTTCTTTGAAATATAAGCGCTATAGCTGAGGCAAGGCCGTATTTGTATGTTTTTTCCCGCCATATTCATGTGATGCGAAAAATTGTGTCACTGCTGTGTGCATGGACGTAATTTCTGTTTGAGTTTCAGAATTCCTTTTTCTTTTTTTTTGTTTTTTTTACTTTCTTTAAGTACAATCTAGGCCTGCATAATAGATGGCACAAATGGAATGAAAAGCGGAAAAATTATAATTGAAATGTAGCAGCTGAGAAAGTTTGACACTTTCTCTTATGTAGAAGAAAAACAAGGGAAAGCTTTAAGTAATAATGAAAATGTAAAATTTTCCACAAATTTCGCATGACATTTAAATATATTTAGTCAAAGTCGCAAGCTGTGGTATAATTTTAGGGGCAGAGCAGTATTTAATCATGAAAGTATGTAAATGGTAGAAAATATTTAAACATACTGTTAAAATTGCTATTGGAATATATAAATAAATAACCTTGCAATGTATGCTATAGCAAGCCATGACATATAAGCTTTTAACCATTTAAATACAACTGTGGCATATTTTTATTTTAAAAAATTGCTGAGAAGCGAAGTCTCAACTTTCAAGTAGTTATTTTTCTGACAGTTTCATTACAACTGTGCTGCAGCATTAATTTATTTCAATACTAACAAATCTTCCATTTTATTTTATTATTTCTCCGATTTATTGTCTAACAGAACAATGGCTAAGTAAACTTAAAAGGCAGGATATTTTTTCCAAATGCTATTTCCAGTAGCGACTGCACCACATGCTTGCACTCTCCCATATTTCTGGTACGAATACATGTTGCTTCTACAGTTCAAAATGATGACATTCAGGATTTTATACTCTTCGCTATCAAACTTTTATATTTCAAAAATCAAAAACAACAATTTCTTAACGCTTCCCTAGTGGCATCTTCAAGGAGAAGCTTTTATTGCATTATGGTTGCACTCACTTGGCGCTGATGCGGGTTTTGATGATTCTTGTAAGCAGATACTTATGACGAACGAACAAAGAGTTGTTGTAGAAAAAATAGGGCAAAACTAACTACAAAAAAAAAGTAAAGAAATTGCAAGAAAGTTTTAAAAAAAGTTTTTAAAAATTATTATACGAGTGGTTGTGTGCAATTCTGAATTGTGTTGTTCGAAGTACAATTGCTCGAGTGGAAATATATCGAACAAATGCAATATTGACGAAGTCTTAACAATTCAATAGATTATTTGTTTGCTTCTCACACTTGGAATGAGTACGTTTCAATTTGGTACGTGTAGAAGCGAAAACACAAATAACAGATTTTTATGTTCTTATTTGTTGGGGTTTTGTGCAGCTGCAGTTGGAGTTGTTTTCAGTAATGCAACGGTACATATTAAATAGTTTTTATCAAATTTCTTCATAAGTATAATAAGTTCAATTTTAAAATGTCAATAAAAAGGATATCAAGTGGCAACACTTGGTAGTATCAAC